ATGTTTTGTAGAGGGGACCAGTGTTTTTGTAAAGTTCCCCGGGTTACCCCACAGTGCATGCGGAGTTTGAAACTGAGCTATGCAGGGAACGCAGGAAGCGGAGTCCTTGGCGATGTCCCAGACCGGTAGGTGGGTGAGGAACACTCTCTGTTTTTATGTCGTTACAGCCATATGGCTTCTTACTTTTCTCACCACAGAGGGTGTTATACGGAAAAGAAGTAAATCTTTAAAATTGTATTGGGAGGAGAGAAAAGTATGTTACTAAAGACTGTCAACACAAGAAACATCCAAACCTGCGGAGAGTTTTTACAAGCGTTGATTGGAGCCAAAACTGATGGCAGTTGCCAGGAAGCAAGATGTCCGGTGCTCCAGAGTGTCAGGTTTCTTTTATGCATTTGGAATTAAGGAGGAAAGATAAGGAAGAGGGCAGGAAGGCGGGAGAAAGCAAGGCCTGGTTAGATTACAGGTCAGTTAACAAGATTTTGTGCCGTCTTATGGGTGGTTACACCTTCCAGGGGTCTTCTCTGGCCTCTCAAAGTTGAGTTAACCTAAGTGCATAGGAACAATGGGCTGGGCAGGCTTAAAAACTAAAGAAGTTCTATGCCTGGGGCATCACTACCCCATGACTTGCCCAGTTGGGGATTTATGATCCTATATAATAAAAGCATACTGTGCAAATTGTCCCCTTGACCTGGAGTTCATCCGGGGAGCTTGACCAGGGGTCAGGGCTGGCTGGGGGAAGGGAATGAGGCCCTCGCCGGTGGGTGGCGGTGGTGGCAGGTGGCTGGGGGAAGGTGGTGGCCGACAGCTGCTAGGGACCCTACCAGTCTATGAATTTTGCACACTAGGCCTCTAGTTTATTATAACATCCCTTTTCATCCACAAGATGTATCATGTGCCCAGACACTGTGCTTGGTGGTTTATTTTGAGAATATTGCAAATCCATTGAAATCATGAGAGATGTTCTAGGATGTCAGAAATCTACACTTTATATATAAATAAATGACATCAATTTACATATATATATATATATATATATATATATATATATATGTAAATTGATTTCAGAGAGGAGGAGAGAGATAGAAATATCAATGATGAGAGATAATCATTGATCATTGCCTCCTGCATGCCCCACATTGGGGATCTAGCCTGCAACCAGGGCCTTGACTGGGAATCAAACCATGACTTCCTGGTTCGTAGGTCAACATTTAATTAACCACTGAGCCATGCCAGCCCGGCAGAAATCTACACCTCTGAGAACTTACTGCTTTGGTAAGGTAACGAGAGCACACACACGCACACAAGTAAAAGCCTGTGAGTGTTGAAGAAAATACATTTTAAAAGGGGGAATACAACACACGTGGGTTTTGAAATCTGTGCATTCAGGTCACAGGTTGGCCACCTACTAGCTGTTGTAGACAAGTGACCCTTCCTCCTTGAGCCTCCCACGTTCATCCTTCACCCCACAGGTTTGCTCTGAGATTTGAGTGAAACACGCTCGCACAGCACTTAGGGAGGTGCTCGCCTATCAGGAACAACGTGACTCGTATAGAAGGTATACATTTATTAACTTGATTAAACCACATCCCTGAGTATACAGTAAGGTTTGTTCTGGTGGGAGGCGTGCACAGTAGTAGATAGGCAAACGCTGGCATTGCAGAGTCATCCATCCCAGCTGTGAGTTGGGGAAATTGAGACTCTTATTTGCTAGAATTCATCAAGCGCTTTTTAGTCAAGATCTATAATTAAAAAAAAAAAAAGAAAAAAAAAGGCAGAATCCTCTCAGTACTTTGTAGGGACATAGATTTGAACCAAAACAGGCAATAAATATATTTACACATGCTTTGTTTGGCCACACCGCTCATAAATGTCCTCCTGGTTCTCAGTTTCCTGTGTCTGGATACAAGAGAACTTTTGTTATGCTCCTCTGGTCCATTTCAAGTTCCTTTGAAGGCTCATCTTACACAAGGTGACCTCAGCAATATCTAGTTTCACTGTAGTCCCCAGTCTGTGCAAATGGTGTCCCTTCTTGTTGAATAAAATTAGAGAATGCTTCCAACTTGAACAAAGGTAAAGGGAAAGGTGGGGAAATGGGTTTTTATGGGCAATGGGAAGACTTTTTATCATAACCTACCCAAGCATGTTTAATCTGAACCAGTTATTAACTGGCTGATAAGATTTGAGATAATAGCATTTTTTCTTTTTAAGGCTAACCCAGTGGTCGGCAAACTCTTTAGTCAACAGAGCCAAATATCAACAGTACAACGATTGAAATTTCTTTTGAGAGCCAAATTTTTTAAACTTCTTTTAACACCACTTCTTCAAAATAGACTCGCCCAGGCTGTGGTATTTTGTGGAAGAGCCACACTCAAGGGGCCAAAGAGCCGCATGTGGCTCGAGAGCTGCAGTTTGCTGACCACGAGGCTAACCCATTTTCTCTTTATTCAAAATCACTAGGACTTTTTGTGAAACAGCATCTGAAAATTGAATTCATGTGAGTGTCTTAGTAGGATATGTTCTGACTTCTTGGGCCACCAGGAAAATAGTTTATCATGACATATGGAATCTTACTGAGACCAAATAGCCTTTATTTTCACAACTTGAGTCATAAAGTGCATTTGTATTTATTTCACTGAAAGAATTAAGAATTCAGCTGTAATACTGGAGTTAAAATTGAGACCACTTCCCAGAACCATGTGAGATGTCTCCACCTAGTGGACAAAATGATGTCATTATATTTCTTTAACCAGTTATTATCAATGGAATGCTTGCTATAACAGTAGCTTTAAGACCAATGAAAATCAACTAGAGAAAAAACAAAACAAAACATTTTGGAAATTACTTAATCACTGCAGATATAAACAGTAAGAAATAAATCAGAAAACTTAATTTATGTGTTATAAATAAGGCAATCACCAAGGGAATTTCTTATTGCACTTAGAGTTGTTTAATGTAGTCATTCCTGAAGGACCAAATCTACATTTCTATTTGTCAAACTATTTCACAAATATTTGTCCCTTTGACTATCTACACTGAATGTGAGGATATTTAGTTAAATAGTTGGATTTTACCAGTATATGGGGAAATAAATGGGCTTATATAGAGTAGCTTAGGAAAAATTAGTTTCTGAAAATAAGAATGCTAATTTGAAAGGGAAATCAAAAGATCTGAGTTCTTAACTATTAGATTTTATTTTAAAAAAATGTATCTTTATTGTTGAAAGTATCACAGATGTCCCCCCTTTTTTTGTTGTTGTTTTTCCATTGACCTCCTTCTTCCTACACCCATTCATCCTGAGCCTTCATCACACTTTTGTCTATGTCCACGGGCTATGCATATATGCATATAATAAAGTATACAATTTTAATTAAGTGGTTTCTAGTCTACCTTGTTTTGATGTTTGATGTTAGATTTATTCACAAATTCATAACTTGTCTGTGCCTCAGTGTTTCTATTTGCAAAATGAAGGCATATTAATACTTACAAAAGATTTACTGGATGGATGATTATGTGCCTAGCACCGTGGTTGGCAAACTGCGGCTTGCGAGCCACATGCGGCTCTTTGGCCCCTTGAGTGTGGCTCTTCCACAAAATACCACGGCCTGGGCGAGTCTATTTTGAAGAAGTTTAAGTTTAAAAAATTTGGCTCTCAAAAGGAATTTCAATCGTAGTACTGTTGATATTATAATTGGCTCTGTTGACTAAAGAGTTTGCTGATCACTGGCCTAGCACATTGATAGATACAGGAGACACAATGATGAACAAAACACAGTCCCTGGTATCAGAGAACACACTCTTTAGAGCACATGTGTCAGACACAAAGCCCGCGGGCCAAATCCGTCCCGCCAGGCCTTGCAATGTGGCCCGCACTGCGCTGTCATCACTGCACTCCACTGCGTTTCCATCACAATGACAGTTTATGACTGTTCAGTAAACCATTCGGCCCGTGATTTAGGCTGGATTTTAGATTTTGGCCCCTTCTCTGATTGAGTTCGACACCCCTACTTTAGAGGAATACATAAAGAAATCATTTCAGGATGAGACAATAACAGTAATATACCCCAGCACATAGAATCATCAAGGAATAGTAGCCAGCTCGGCCCCAGAAGCAAGTGGAGTTAATAGTCAAGGAAGGCTGCCCCGAGGAGAACAAACCCTAAAGTAAGGATTAAAGGATGAGTGAGAATTAATGAGCCAGGCAGGAGGGTGGAGACAGAGGATTCTCCAAATGAGACTACCAAATGAGGATTTGTAAGGTCGCATGGGGCATTTGACAAAAACGGGGTTTTGGAGGACTCTTAAAGGAACATGAATGCACAGAGTAGGAATGGAAAGGTACTCTGATCTTGCAAAGAGGGGCAGCAGGAGAAGCCCAGAAGTGTCTCAGAGGACCTGCCCTGGCCGGCTGGCAGTTTGGCTTCCTTTTAGCTGGCTGACAACTGGCACTTTAGTTTAAGCCTTCCGGAGTGTGAATGTGCTGCTTGTAATGTCAGACTGGTACAACCTCTTCAGAGGAGTACGGTTTTACTACATTTAACAAGCGTATCATGAAGATTCCCATATGGACTCATTAAACATGACCGGTGAAGTGGTTAATGCTGCTGAGTCACCTTTTAAACCAGAGGTGTGGTGAATGGGATGCTGACTTCCAGAATAAAATCCCAAATCCACTGTGGTTCTATCTATAGCTGAATAATAGGCAGCTGCCTTTTACTTTGAAGTTTTGTTTCTGCATTGGTAGTGGTGGTGTTTGGGTTTGCTGGTTGGTATTAAAAAAACACAAAAGGAGGAGGAGAAGAAGAAGAATTATTGATAATATAAAATCATTACATTTTAAAACTAAGTGTTTGACTTGCAAGAAAATGAATGGTTTATTTTTATATTCAATTCCTTACCTATTTATTTCTGGCATCAAAAGAACCAGTGTCTCCTTGAACTTCAAATGGCCTTAAAGACTTAGTGATATCCTTAAATGAATACAACTTTTGTCTTCACAGATACAGGCTTGTTCCAAAGGTTTATTTTCCTGAGCAAGTTCACGATGTTGTACGTGCCACGAAGTACTTCATGCAGCCGGAAGTCTTACAGAAGTACTCGGTGGACCCAGGCAGAATTGGCGTTTCTGGAGACAGCGCTGGTGGGAACTTGGCCGCTGCCCTGGGCCAACAGGTACAGGCTTCTCTGAGGTGCTGGCAGGGGGGAGGATGCATGGTAACATCCAAAAGACCAACACATTCCCACTACACATGGCAGAGGCTCAGCCAGGTGTGCTGGCTACTGTGTGACCAGGTTACGCAGATGGCTGGACCTGGAGAGCTCAGAGAGTTTTCTTTCTTATTTTTATTTTTATAAAAATGAGTATTAACTATCTGCTGTCTTTTCCCTCGGAGGTACCTCATTAAATCAGATATTGATTTTGCCAATACTATTTTTTTGATAATTTTTTTTTTATCACATCATTATGTGTTCATGACATTTTTGTTAAAATATTGAAGTGCAGCTTGGCCATTGTGTGGCTCAGTGGTTGAGCATCAACCCATGCACCAGGAGGTCACCAGTTCAATTCCTGGTCAGGGCACATGCCCAGGTCAGAGGGCTTTCTGAAGTAAGAGAGGTCACTGAGAGACATGTCATCTCTGAGTCCGTGTGCAGGCCCTGAGTACAGTCAATACGACAAGAAGCCAATTTTAGAGGCTCTCTTCCCCCGCCCTCCCCCCGCCCCTCCCTTGCTCCTCAGCGGATGCATGGAAGTTAAGGATCTCCTGCTTCTTTTCCATGTTGGACTTTTAAAGGTAGAAAATTTAAAAATTTTTTCTTAAATTCTGTACAGCCAGCATGGATCAGTGGTTGAGTGTTAATCTACTACTATGAACCAGGAAGTCACGGTTCAATTCCCAGACAGGGCACAGGCCCTGGTTGCAGGCCGGATCCCCATTGTGGGGAGTGCAGGAGGCAACCAATCATTGATTCTCTCTCATCATTAATGTTTCTATCTCTCTTCCTCTTCCTGTCAGAAATCAATAAAAATATATTTTTAAAAACTTAAAAATGTTTTTCCTTAAATTCCAATTGATGAGATTGTTTCCTTACAACTTAGAGCCAATTAAAAAGTGTCTCCCAAATTTTTTTTTAATATCAAAGAAAATATTAAATGGCTCTGCCACCTTAGATGTAGTAATAGATCTGAGCTTTACCTGGTTAAATTCTCTGAAAACAAAATCTGGGGCAGCTGTATAAACTCAACGATAAGTACATTTTCTTCCTAGTAGGGATTTGACAAGAGAGATTCTGAGCCATCCTGCATTAAATGACAGCAGGCTGGAGGGCGGGAGGAAGAAGTAAGAGGGGATCTGGTACAGAGCCTCAGGCCCAGTCTAGCGGAAGACTGCTCACATTCCTGAACGGATGCTGAGACATTGAATCAGCTTCCAGGTGGTGACTTAAGATATAATAAATAGCCGATCACCAGGCACGACTGCGCTCTGCTTATGCGTGAACTCTCCAGATTGGGGGCCACAACAGTAGCACAGCAGGAACTATTTCTTCCTGAGGCACGAGCACCTATCCTAGAACTTTCCCCTGCTTCCCCTTTCCTGCCCTCCATCTATGTCCAGTGTAAATTCTTTCAAGCAACGTATGTTTTCTTCCTGGAACCCATTGCATAAAAGAGCCCTGCCAGCCCGGCTGGTGTGGCTCAGTGGTTGAGCATCAACCGATGAACCAGGAGGTCGCGGTTCGATTCCTGGTCAGGGCACAGGCCCTGGTTGAGGCTCGATCCCCAGTGTGGGGCGCGCAGGAGGAAGCCGATCAGTGATTCCCTCTCGTCATTGATGTTTCTCTCTCCCCCTTCCTCTCTGAAATAAAAGAAAAAAAAGACCCCTGTCAGCTCCAGGACAGCGGACACATTTGTGTTTCCCATCTAGGCCTGCAGCTGGAGTTCAGACTGCGCATCCAGGATGTGGGCCTTTCTCCGCTAGCACATGACTTCGTAAACCTTCTCTTCCAGAGAAGTTTTTGGCTGCAAAGGCTTTTGTTTAACGTATCAAATAGCTTACAAATGGCATCTCTCTCTTCTCACCTCCAAATTTGGGGGCTATTTTCAAGTAGCCTCTGCCTTTTCATTTGTGGGATACCTTGGTTTCCTCCCCGTTGCTGTAATTAAAAAACTGGCTTCTCCTCTTGGCATTGGCAGGTTTGCTATCCATGAGTCCAAATGTGGTCAGAAGGCCTGGTGCACTGGGAGGCTTTCAAACCAGGCAGAACTGGGAGGGTATCCAGGCTCCCTTTGGGAGCTGTGGGGCTCTAGGCAAGTCCTTTAACCTCTCTGAGCCTCGGGAAACATGAGGATTATATTGTCTGATTGTGGGGCTATTGTCAGGACTTAGAAAATGTCCTTATACAATTCTGGGCACGTATTCATGGCACTATTTTCTGATCTATTCCTCTCACTTTCTCAGAGCAGTTACATCTTCCCCGGGGATGGAATTCTAAAGGCCGGTGTGAAACACGGCCTGAACTAACTCCACACAGTCTGAACTAACTCCAGCTGCAGGCCTAGATGGGAAACAAACATGTCCACTGTCCTAAAGTTGCCTGGAAGATTGATGAGTTGCCCACAGTGAGCTAATGCGCTGTCTTGTAGGTGTTGCCTGAAAAATCAGTCATTTGAGACACTAGAATCACAACATGAGGCAATGCATTCTCATTTGGGGGAGGAATGGGGGAACTGAGATTTGCTGAGGTGAGGGGTTCCTTCCCCTCCCATTTCGACCTCACTCTGGGGCACGTGCTCATTAAGCAGAGTGGAGGGTACATGGCCAGCACCACGTAAAATCTCACTCTCCCCAGCATGACGGCTGAGTGCTCAGTGAGGAGACAGACGGAGGCCCCGTGAAAACACTGGATTCCTGTCATCTGTTCATTTCCTGCCTTTCGCCTTTGGAAGGGTCAGACTTGTCTCTTCTGCCTAAGAAGCCATTGCTTTTTGGGCCTTGCAGGGAATACAAAACTAAATAAGGTTCACACATTACCCATCCACAACACCCAGTAAGGATGTGCTGAGTGCCAGAGGATAGATACAAGTAACATGTTAATGCCATGGTCTTGATCTGGCATCTAGCAATCTGGAGAAGGGCTGTGCATAGATTAAATAGGAGTCCAGAGATGAAACTTAATTTTGAAAGTCATATTGGGGGAGGCAGAGGAGCTTGGCTGAAGAAACCAAGTTCTCCTTGTCTCAGGACCTCTTGCTTTTTATTAACACAATTTGTCCTAAGGCAAGGTGGAGATATACACCTCAAAGTGGGATAGGGTTTTGTACAGAATCCATTATCAGAATGGGGAATTTCTTTTGGCTCTTCAGGTATTTGGCCAACAGGTGGCAATAACATGCAGATTAAGATGCCTTGAGTTGTCTGGCAGTAAACAACCATCCTTTTCAGGTTTGGGGAAATACCTTTAGCCATTCCAGCAGGCAATAACATATGTGACTCAGCCCTTGTTGAGTCCCCAAGTCCTGTCAATCTTTTGATGATTATGACATGTTGGAATTGGCTTCCAGCAACATGTTAATGAGGGTTTAAAGACGTACGAGATCATGTACCTCTGCAGTTTTCATTCAAAATTATGAGTTGCAAACGTCATGCCTTTGCTTCTCAGTGTCCAACAGCTTGATCAGGTGGTAGTGGTGGCTGGTGATTTATTTATTTTTTTTAAACTACATTAATACCATGCTTGCTAGAAATTTAACAACTGTATCCTTTTGACTGATTCAAAGTAACACATTTTATATGTATCTATAATAATAAAAGCCTAAGCAACCTTCGGAACCGAATGAATGGACAACCAAACAGGCCAGCTGGTGGGGTGACCAGGCCGACAGAGGGTTAGTGAAGGGCGACCAAATGACTGAGCAGCAGGCTGTGTGGGGCTACCAGACCGGAAGGGGGGTTAGTGAGGGGCGACCAAATGACCGAACAGCAGGCTGTGTGGGGGGACTAGGTCTGCAGAGGGGGCAAGTGGGGCAACCAGAACATCAGGGGGGCAGTTTGGGTGACCAGGATGGTGGGGAGGGCAGTTGGGGTGACTAGGCCTGAAGGGGGAATGGTAATTGGTGTCCAGGCCATTGGGGGGAGGGGCAGTTAGGGGCAACCGGGCCAGTGGAGGGAGCAGTTAGGGGTGACTAGTCCAGCAGGGGAAGGGCACTTAGGGGCGACTAGACCACCAGGGGGTGGCAGTTAGGGGTGATCAGGCAGGCAGGTAAGCAGTTAGGAGCTAGTGGTCCCAGATTGGAGAGCGTGCAGGCTGGGCTGAGTGGACCCCTTACCCCCAGGCATGAGTTTCATGCACTGGGCCCCTAGTATATATATACATATAATTTATATCAGAGAGGAAGGGAGAGGGAGAGAGAGATAGAAACATCAATGATGAAAGAGAATCATCCATCAGCTGCCTCCTGCACACACCTCCCACTGGGGATCGAGCCTTCAACCTGGGCATGTGTCCTGACCAGGAATCGAACCATGAACTCCTGGTTCATATAATACATAGGTTGATGCTCAACCACTGAGCTATGCTGGCAGGGCCCAAATAACACCTTTTTAAGGTGTGGTTTCTGTAGAAGGAAGCATGCAAAATAAAGTAATATGTTTGCTTCTTCTCTCCTCCAGTTTAGTCAAGATGCCAACTTGAAAAACAAGCTCAAAGTGCAAGCTTTAATTTATCCAGTCCTCCAACCTTTGGATTTTAACACACCCTCCTATCAGCAAAATGTGAACACCCCGATCCTGCCCCGTTACGTCATGGTGAAGTACTGGCTGGACTACTTCAAAGGCAACTATGACTTTATCCAGGCCATGATCGTGAACAACCACACCTCGCTTGATGTGGAAGAGGCTGCTGCCCTCAGGGCCCGGCTAGACTGGAAGTCCCTCTTGCCCGAGTCCATCACCAAGAACTACCAGCCTGTTGTGCAGGCCACCGGCAACGCCAGGATTGTGCAGGAGATCCCTCAGCTGCTGGATGCCCGTGCTGCCCCACTCATCGCCGACCAGGAGGTCCTGCAGAACCTCCCCAAGACCTATATTCTCACCTGCGAGCACGATGTGCTCAGAGACGACGGGATCATGTATGCAAAGCGCTTGGAGCGCGCGGGTGTAGAGGTGACCCTCGACCACTTCGAGGACGGCTTCCACGGGTGCATGATTTTCACCAGCTGGCCCACCAACTTTTCCGTGGGCATCCGGACTAGGAATAGCTACCTCAGGTGGCTGGATCAAAACCTGTGAAGGAGGAGAGCTTCTGGAATGCTTGTGCCCTTCTTGACCTCCTGCTTTAGGAAAGGCGTGTACTTTCTCGTCGACTCATTTCGCCCTGTTCCCTGTGAATTATGGAATCTCTACTCCCTGCTTTATGTTAAGTTAATTTTTAAAAAATGCGTTTGACTAACATCTACATCTGGTTCTCCAGGTGGGCCAGTCTCTCTGTTCTTGTTTTAGCCAAACTGCTGTGGATAACCCATCGCTGCAGAGAGCAGGACTAGGAGCTGGAAATAGCTGTGGGTCCTGCCTTCATCAAGAAGTTCTTTTTTAGAAGTAACAGGTCCACCTCTGGAGGATACAGGAACTTTTAATGAGTTAAGAAAGCGTGGGCTCTTCTTCAGTGTGCTAGCGTTTACTTAGAGTTCAGAGCACTGTTAAATGCGTGTACTTGAAGGTCAGTGCTGGGTACCAAGTGCCCTCTGTCCTTTGTGGATGGATGGTTTTGTTTCCTATGGGAATTTCGGCAAAAGCGCTCTAGCAAGGACAGGTTTCTCAAATGTCGTTCTTCCTTTAGAGTGTTAATTTATGAGATAGCTATCTATGAAGTCCAGTTGGATTATGATGATACTTGAATGTTACTTTCTACCACTATTATTAGAAAATATAAGGCTGCACGCATTAGATGTGTATACATTGTTGATTTGTTGTTGTAGTTATGCCATCTCCTGGGGGCGGGGGGAGACTTTTGGGACCAAATTTATTTAAATTTGGAATAAATTTCTCATTGTAGAACAAGTAAAAACAAACAAACCGACCTGTTGTTTTCATAATGAATACGTCTGACATAAATTACCAAGAGTTGTGCATATATATTTGGCATAGTCAAAAAAAAGGATAGGTTTAATATTAGTTACATTTAGGAAAAAATGTCGGGGAGGGTCTAGTTCAGTGATCAGCAAACTGCGGCTCGAGAGCCACATGTGGCTCTTTGGCCCCTTGAGTGTTCTAACGCCACTTCTTCAAAATAGACTCGCCCAGGCCGTGGTATTTTGTGGAAGAGCCATACTCAAGAGACCAAAGAGCCACATGTGGCTTGAGAGCAGTGGTTTGCCGACTACTGGTCTAGTTTATTCTTGAAAACTCAGTCTTCACTCTCATAGCTTTAAAATGGGGCTCTTTTGGTGTATATATAAATATAATGTATTGTTTATTTTTTTAAGTTATTTAATGTTCATATATGAAGCTAGATTCAAGATTTTTCAGAATAAAGTTGGTAATGGGTATTAAAAATAATATTTTTTTAAAAACTACCTGAAAATTATATCCACATGTTAATTTGGATATAAAAGGTAAAATAGCTATTAATACTACTACTCATTAGGCCTAAGTATTTTGACGTTCTCATGCATATACAAATTAAGGTAATTAGAAATTAGTAAAGTCATCTAAATTGATAGCTTATAGCTTAGGCAAGACACACACTGCTCATTTCTGCTCTCAATGGTCAAAGGAACACTATCTCCTATTCTTCTGGGTGAAGGGCAGACATTGGCACCTGGTGCCTACTCTCTCATCTCCTTCCATCAGGTCTGGAAGTTTTAATAGCCCGAGTTAAACTTGATGTAAAGCCTTCACTGCCAGTGGGAACATCTTGGCATCACAGGGAGCTCCAATTCGGGTGAGCGTTGAGTACCTCTGCTCTCTTTCCTGCCACGTGTATGTCTCCCCCAGTCCCTGCCTCTTTTGGGGACTTGGGAGAGTAGCAGTCCAGCCAAGTAATAATGATACAATTTAATAGATTTACCAGGTGGGAGGAAGTAGAACCTTTTACTCATTTGAAAGATGGGCATTTCCCACTTCTGGCAATGAAATAACGAATAAAAATTTGCATAGTTTTTTATTTGTTGTACAAAACAGAAGTAAATGCAACAGTGTGTGTATAAAAATCGTCATACCAATTAATGTGCTAATGTATTCAGGCAAGTCACTCAGTCACCTCCGGGCCTCTTTTCTCTTTTCCTGTAAAATCAGAGAATTGATTACTTAATCTATGAGGTTTCTTCAAACTATAAATTCCAACCTCTTTTGTAAGGCTGACAAACTGTGTGTATTGACTTCTTCTATGGTGGTTTTTTTTTTGTAGGTCATTTATTCCATATACACAGACACATGCTTCATCACAGCTATTTTTTCTTAAAAATTAGGATTTTAGTTCTTTCTCTCTTACAGCTACCCTCCTTGTTTACTATTATGTGCTGTTGTTGTTGCTGTTTTTACAACCTTTGAGGTTATCTACCTCTAATAAAGCAAAGAACATATAATATATGCACAGACTTCCTTAAAACGGCATCTCCTCCCCCTAGGATTATAAGCCAAATCCGGTAGTAATTGTAGACAGCAGATGATTCCAGGTTTCTCAAGGGATCTCTCAGATGGAAAGGGAGTGAAAGAAAAAGGAGTCAAGCACTGTTTCTGATTAAATACTTGAGTTTCATGAAAGCTTTTTTTATGTGTGATTTGTCTAATGACTTGCACTGTGTCTCGCCTCAGTCCTCAAAATTCTCCTTGTAATCATCACAGTTGTGAATCAGGATACACAAACCCACTAGACACAAGAGAGGCTATAAAGCAACCAAAAATGTGAGTGCTAAGAACTCTGGGGAGCCTACAGACTTTATGTTGAAGGTATTTGGGTTTGGGGTGAGTTCATTTTTTTTTTTTTTTAAAGTTTATGCTCTGCAGGTTGATATGTTTTTTTCAATGCTATGGGTTTGTTTTGTTTTCCTATTTTATGAAAAAGTTGCTAACCTTTTTGTAATATCATTGTTTGTGAAATATGAATATAAATATATGAAGAAAAAAGTCTTGAAGTGTAGCAAAATATAGTGAAGTATAAATTAGTCTTCATGTTTTATCATTGATTTTGTGAAGAATTTAAGACTATTATATAATTATCTTGGTGGATAAACTATTTTATGCATGATCTTCTAACCTTTGACTTTTTGCTTATTTCCCATTGCAAAGGGGAAAGGAAAATTTTATGAAGGATTTTAGCAGCACATCTATTTTATAAGATGAAAATCCAGTATGGAGGTAGGAAAGTGTATGTTTTGACTCATGTTTGGAAATAAAATAGCTCCATCTGGTAGTGTGCTCTTCGTCTCATTTTCTGGTTCTCAGCTCTCTTTCTGGTTAATTATCACTTACTTAAATTTGTGAGAGAACTTTAGACAAATGGTAGAGAGTGTGCAAAGAAGCCACTATGGGACTTGTCCAAATTTATAAGAAATACCCTTTACAATCAGCAGCTGGAAAAGATGCTGCAAAACAGATTTCATGGATCAAAGACAAATTGCTACATATATATTGTCAAAATAGTATTGATGAACGATTACTTGTTGTATGGATCTTTGCTTAATACATGGTTTCCCATAATTTGGAAACTATGGAATGAATGAGATACTTCTGTTACTTGTATGCCACACTGGATTTAAATATTGTTAGGTATGTTTCAGACATCAAACTGTTCTTTCCATCTTTTGTAGTATACTGGATTTTATGAGGGTAGGGAATAACTATTTTTAAATGTTAATGTATGTGATGTTAACATTGTTTAAGTGGTCACACAATAAAATATACAGCTGATTTTTTCAGAAAGCAAATAAGAAAAGGTTATTAAAATATTTCCAATAATATTTTAATAATTCAAAGTAATTCAACCAAATTTTAAAGAAAAAAATGGTTTTGATAAAAGGGATAAAGTGAATATTTTCTTTTTTTTTTAATATATATTTTATTGATTTTTTTACAGAGAGGAAGGGAGGGGGATGAGAGCTAGAAACATCGATGAGAGAGAAACATCAACCAGCTGCCTCCTGCACATCCCCCACTGGGGATGTGCCCACAACCAATGTACATGCCCTTGACCGGAATTGAACCTAGGACCCTTGAGTCCGCAGACAGATGCTCTATCCACTGAGCCAAACTGGTTTCGGCATATTTTCTTTTTATCCTTCCACAATTCAAGTACTTTCTGCATTTTTTATTAACAGATACTGAGGTTTTTCCTTTGTTAAATAAACTGTTGCAAACTGCCCTAAAAGAATGATTTATCTAACATATTCTACAATTGTTCTATAGAAGTCAAATTAATATTTTGAGAAATTTTTTAAAACACATTTTTATTGATTTCAGAGAAGAAGGGAGAGGGAGAGAAAGAAAGAAAAAATCAGTGATGAGAGGGAATCATTGATCGGCTGCCTCTTGCATGACCCCTACTGGGAATCCAGCCAGTAACCGGGGCATGTGTCCTGACCAAGAATTGAGTGACCACCTGGTTTATAGATCAAAGAGTTTTGAGAAATTTTAAACAGTGAAAGCAAGTTCTACTACTTGTAGAATGTTGTCTTTCCTTCTTTCTGTTTTTGTTATTTTTAATAGGAAATCAAATTATATTTTCTTTATTCTAGTTAAGTTTATGAAGTAAAGAAATAATAAACATGTATTGCTTGATCACAGATTAAAGTTATTTTAAATGTTTTACTTTAAAATAAATGATTGACTAAGCTAAGCAACACACCCTTCCTGATTTCATTTCCGCTATGCTTATACACTGAAGTTACTGCCTTCTATACAAAGCCAGTACTTCAATTTGTGTCCTTAATCCAATTCATCAACATCTCATTCAAGGACTTGCTGAAGTACCTCCCCTCTCTCCTGCATCTTTAACTCTCAATACATTCTTCTGTCTTGTGACCAATAGAAGTTAAAAGTGTGCACCTGTGAATGGGGCCCCTGCCCAAGATTTAGATTCATTCATTCACTCTACTCATTCATTCTTCTTTAAAAAAACAAACAAACATATATATATATATATATATATATATATATATATATATATATATATATATATATATGTATTTTTTTTTTATTGATTTTTCACAGAGAGGAAGGAAGAGGGATAGAGAGCTAGAAACATCGATGAGAGAGAAACATCGATCAGCTGCCTCCTGCACATCCCCCACCGGGGATGTGCCCACAACCAATGTACATGGCCTTGACCAGAATTGAATCTGGGACCTTTAAGTCAGCAGGCCGACGCTCTATCCACTGAGCCAAACCGGTTTCGGCTACTCATTCCTTCTTAGCGCTATAAATAGAGTCAAATCTGTCCAGAAGAATCTCCCTTTTAACCCCTTTATCTTCATTTTGTTTTTCTTTCAATCCAAACAAAACAGTTGTTTTGGTTATCTATTGCTGAGTAAACATATTCCGGAACTTCTAAGTTAAAACAATAGCCATTCGTTACTGCATGATTCTGGGTTTCCGGGGCTTAGTTTGGTGGATCATCGGCTAACTGTAGTGTTGACCTGTGGTCCATTTCCCAGAGCGCTGGTCTGGAGCATCCACAAAGGCTCACTGTGTGACTGGCACTTTGTGTCTGGCTGTGAGCAAAGTGGCTTGGTCCTCCACCTGGCCTATTCTCCTGAAATGGAATTCTAAAAACATGGCATCTGGCCGAACCAGTTTGGCATCAGCCTGCAGACTGAAGGGTCCCGGGTTTGATTCCTGTCAAGGGCATGTATCTTCATTGCGGGCACATCCCCAGTGGGGGTTGTGCAGGAGACAGCTGATTGATGTTTCTCTCTCATCAATGTTTCTAGCTCTCTATCCCTCTCTCTTCCTCTTTGT